AGGTACTGCTGGTGCTGGAGGTGCTGGAGGTACTGCTGGAGGTGCTGGAGGTGCTGCTGGTGCTGGAGGTACTAGAGGTGCTGCTGGTGCTGGAGCTACTAGTCCTGGAGGTACTGCTGGTGCTGGAGGTGCTGGAGGTACTGCTGGAGGTGGTGGAGCTGCAAGGCCTGGAGGTACTGGAGGTGCTACTGGTGCTGGAGGTGCTGGAGGTGCTACTGGTGCTGGAGGTACTGGAGGTAATGCTGGAGGTACTAGAGGTGTTGCTGGTGCTGGAGGTAATGGAGCTGCTAGGCCTGGAGTTACTGGAGCTGCTGCTGGTGCTGGAGGTGCTGGAGCTGCTAGTGCTGGAGGTACTGCTGGTACTGGAGGTGCTGGGGGTACTGGAGCTGCTGGCACTGGAGGTGCTGGTGCTACTGGTGCTGGAGCTGCGGGAGCTGCTGGTTCTGGAGGTGCTCGTACTAGAGGTACTGGAGCTGCCGGAGCTGGTGGTGCTGCTGGTGCTGGAGGTGCTGCTGGTGCAGGAGGACCTGGAGCTACAGGTGCTGCTGGTGCTGGAGGACGTGGAGCTACTGGAGCTGCTGGTGCTGGAGGTGCTGGCCCTGCTGCTGGTGCTGGAGGTACTGGAGGTGCTGCTGGTGCAGGAGGACCTGGAGCTACTGATGCTACTGGTGCTGGAGGTACTGGAGGTGCTGCTGGTGCTGGAGGTACTAGAGGTGCTGCTGCTACTGGTGCTAGGAGTACTGGAGGAGCTGCTCGTGCTGGAGGTACGGGAGCTGCTGGTGCTCTTCGCCACCTTCTCAGTCTTCCGCCAGGTGCTACTGACTTCCCTGTGGCATGTACTACTCCTCCGTTACTGTTTCCACCGGCAGACCAATCACAGCCGCAGCTCCTACCGCACTCCCCACTGCCTGCTCCTGCTCCTTACACTGCGGTGACACAATCCCTGACTGAGCGTCGAGAGCCTGAGACTCGTGCTTCCACCCCTGAGCGTCGAGAGCCTGAGTCCAGCTTTGACCTTGAGCCCGAGCCTAGAGCTGCTGTCCGTGCTCGTGTTCCTCGTGTTCGTCGTCAGCGTGCTCCGGCTGTCCCAGGTACTCACGATATGACACTCTGTCCTTCCTCTGTTCCACAGCGTGGTGTCCTGTCGTTACCTCCCGCGCCCTCTCTTCCTGACGTTGCTGACCCTCCGTCTGACCTTGCTCGTGCGTCCAGTCCGACTGTTACTCGCTTTCTTGCTACGGTGGTGACTAACCCTTCGTTCTCGTCTCCTGCTGCGTCTGCCTTAGTCGCTGAGCTCGTTGACTTTGCTGCTGTGTACCGCCTAGACTACCTTGCGAGTCTTGTTTCTGACCCAGTCCCTGCCTGTCCTCCGTCCGTCGGGGGTGAGACAGCCCTTGGCTGTACTGCCCTTGGCTGTGACGTTCTTGAGGACAGGCAGGAGGAGCTGGAGTGCCTTGCGGCCGCTGCACCCCATCTCGCGACCATGCTGCTTGCCCCTGAGGGAGACCCGGATGCACTTGACATCCCCACCCCGCGCTCTTACAGAGAGGCGATTTCGGGTGAGTACTCCTCTCAGTGGCAGACAGCCATGGACGCAGAGATGGCTTCCTGGAAGTCCACAGGCACCTACGTCGACGAGGTTCCCCCACCTGGGGTGAACATCGTCAGTAGCATGTGGATTTTCAGAGTGAAGCGGCCGCCGGGTTCTCCGCCTGCCTTCAAGGCACGTTACGTTGCTCGAGGTTTCAGTCAGCGTGAGGGAGTTGACTTCTTTCAGACCTTTTCCCCCACCCCGAAGATGACCACTCTTCGGGTGTTGCTACACGTTGCAGCACAGCGCGACTACGAGCTGCACTCCCTCGACTTCTCGACAGCTTTCTTGCAGGGTAGCCTTCACGAGGCCATCTGGTTGCGCCGTCCACAGGGCTTCACTGGGTCGTTTCCTGAGGGTACCCAGTGGAGCCTACGGCGACCAGTGTACGGCCTGCGTCAGGCGCCCCGCGAGTGGCACGACACACTGAGGACGACACTTGCGGCTCTTGGGTTTGCTCCTTCGACTGCTGACCCGTCGCTATTTCTACGCACCGACACTACTCTGCCGCCGTTCTACATCCTCGTGTACGTCGACGACTTGGTTTTTGCTACTGCTGACACTGAGGCACTGGCCCTAGTGAAGGCGGAGCTGCAGTAGAGACACACCTGCACTGACCTGGGTGAGCTGCGGAGCTATCTTCGCCTGCAGATCACCCGGGACAGAGCACGGCGCACCATCACCCTCACGCAGTCACACATGGTGCAGCAGGTCCTTCAGCACTTCGGCTTCACGTGGTCCTCGCCACAGCCCACTCCTCTGTCTACCGGCCACTCGCTCTCAGCTCCACCTTCGGACGAGTCCGTAGAGCCGAGTGGTCCGTACCCAGAGCTTGTGGGCTGCCTCATGTACCTGATGACGTGCACACGACCTGACCTCGCGTACCCTCTCAGCCTCGTGGCTCGCTACATGGCACCCGGTAGACACCGAAAGGTGCACTTTGATGTTGCGAAGAGGGTACTGCGTTGCTTGTGCAGTACATCGGGCATGGGGCTCGTGCTTGGAGGACGGGGTTCAGTGGTACTCACAGGACACTCTGACGCTTCTTGGGCCGACGACCAGGCGACTCAGCGTTCGTCACAGGGTTACACCTTCAGTCTTGGCTCTGGTTCTGTCTCGTGGAGGTCCACTCGTTCTTCTTCTGTGCTTGGTTCCAGCTGTGAGGCCGAGATCTACGCTGGGGCCATGGCTGCACAGGAGCTTCGCTGGCTGACCTACCTGCTGACCGACTTGGGGGAGCAGCCTCGTTCTCCTCCAATTCTGTACGTCGACAACAAGGCAATGCTTGCCTTGTGTCGCGAGCAGAGAATGGAGCACAGAATGAAGCACATTGCTCTTCGCTACTTCCTTGCGCGTGAGCTGCAGCAGCGTGGTCAGCTGCGCCTTGCTTACGTGGCCTCTCGGGCCAACACTGCTGATGTCTTCACCAAGGCCCTTGGGTCTGGTGATCATCAGCGTTTCTGCACGGCTCTTGGGCTTGTGCCCACTCTGCCTCACCTGCTGGTTGCTTGACTTGCTCTTGTTGTACACTGATATATATCTTTATACCTGCTTGTTTACTCTTGCTAGGTTGTGATGAGTGTACTGCCTTGCTATTATAACTCTGCATGTGAACTGGCCTTGTGGCCGCTTGCTTGTGCTCAAATTGTGTGGTGTCCTTGAGATCCACCCTGAGCTTTGCTTTGCTTTGTTCTCTTGCTTGACTGGTCTTGTGACCGTTCGTTGTGGTTGCTATCCCCCACTTTGCCTATGGGGGTGTGTCAAATTACATTTGTATGCTTCTAGGCTGTAGTGGGGCATACTCTAGTGAGTACAACCCTTTAGGGTTTCATACTTGTACTTATCCTGCTGCTCAATGCAATCATTCCTGCACAGTGATTCTGACATTAATCCGTTGAGTGCCTAAAGGCTTTGCAAATTTTGCAATAGTGGCGCCGCGGTTGTCGTCGCTCTTCCCGGTTGTCAGCGTAGAAGGCGAGTCGTTCTCGTCGCGCCGCATAGGGCATAGGGCAAGGGAGTTGTTCTTGCTTGAATCCATGTCTTGCTGTTCGACAAGAAGTGCGGCGCATAGGGCAGCTTCTGAAATTGTTCCCTGCTGTCGGAGTAGCGCCTTACAGGGCTTCCACTCTGGCCCGAGTCCAGCGAGGACTATGTTGACGAAGATTTTTTTTATGAAATCGTGCTCCCGTGCTTCGCGATTTGGTCGCGGATGTTCGAGCAGCGATTAACATATGTATTCGCTTTCTCCCCGTGCCCCATCTTGATCTCCATATACCTTCGTCGGGTGCTTCCAAGCTTCTAGTGCTGGAGCTGGGTTATGATAATTCTAACAAAGTCACTTCCTTATCGTAACAAGTCATAGCTTTTGTTGTTCGTTTATTCGGCGCACAATGTTTAACAATTCATAACACTTGTTTTAAAAAGTTGACGTGAGGGAGTTTTGGTAGTTTGGGCTTTGGCGAGTGTTTCTGATTTCGTCAAATTCGTTTTTTTCGCCACACCCAGCTTGCCCCTCGTTTTTACCCTTGTGGGTGTGTCAGACCTCGAAAGTCCCAAATTGCAGGTGCGCTTCTTTTCAAAGCTTGCACAGCCCACTTCTTCAACTTTTAAAAGCTTGACCCGCGCGGCCCGCAATTTGGGACACGGGCTTTAAAACAAATTTAGGTTACAAAAGCTCCAATTGAAATGTAAACACGCTATGCCTGACCCTTGCTGATCTGAAGACTCTGTTTGTGACCCTCGATTTGCCTTCAACACAAATTATTCCTACTCGCACACCGTAAGTACCGAAATTATTAGCACAGAGGTCGAAAGCCGACTCTTACGCGGCCTCGCGCCGTGCTTTACGCGTCATCGCAGACGTCGATGTAGTCACTTGTAGAAAGACGGCAGGGATTCGTCTCGCATTTCGATTTCCAGAAGCCCGCGAAATTATCGAGTCGTGTGAGGAGCTTGCGCCGTCCCCGGGACCTGCACTCGCGCGATCTACGGCGCCTCGGGCCGCCTTTCCTCTGACGAGACAGCTCGCGTTAGTGAAGTATAAAATGGAGAAGCATCAGCCATTCTCAAATCACCTCTCATCAGCAGTCCGCTCGCTCTTGTTACCCCAGCCTTACCCGAGCATACTTCAGTTCAGCGCTAGTAGCGCACTTATACCATCCTGATTTCGAAAATCCGCGAGAATTTTCAATAATCTCGAGCTCTCGTTCTACTTCCGACCTCGCCAGTCTCGGTCATTTTGGCAATGGCTTTCAAAATGCTGAATCTCCTCTGCGCTGCGTTCGGTGAGTTGTGAGATTCGTGGTTGAGTGAGTGCTCGAATTCGATGCTGTTGGAGTAGGGTGAGTGCTCTACCGTTGCTGCTTCCAAGGTCAGTGCTTAGATCAGTGCCTGATAGCTTTCGCGCTAGATGCGGTTCCGTATTCCATCTCCTGTGCTTCCCTCTCCTGGCCTTTCCTCCGCTTCCCTCTCCTGTTCTTTTCATCTGATTCCCTGTGCCCTCCTTACGTTACCTCCGTCCCCGCTTCTTTCTTGCTCTTCCTCCCCTCTCCTGCGCTTCTCTCTCCTCGATCATGCTCTTCCCTCCTCTCCTGTTCTTCCTTCTCCTCTCCTGCTCTTCCCTCTCCGCTCCTGCTCTTCCCTCTCCTCTCCTGCTCTTCCCTCTCCTCTCCTTCTCTTCCCTCCTGTCCCTTCCCGTTCCTCCTTATCGGTTATGTCCTCTCCTGTTGTTCCCTCTCCTGTTCTTTCCACGCATGTTCGCTTCCCTCTCCTGTTCTTCCCTCTCCAATTCTTCTCTCTCCTGTTCTTCCCTCTCCGATTCTTCCCTCTCCTGCTCTTCTCTCATTTTCTCTCCTCATGATCCACTCGCTTGTCCTTCCCTCTCCTCCCATCCATATTCCACCCCCTTCTCCAGTATTCGCAATGCTCACCTTTGCACTCGCTGTGCCAGCTCTCGCTGACGTCACACCCACTGAAGCCACGCCTGCTGCTGACGTCACAGCCGCCAGCACTACCACTCACTCACAGCGCGCCACTGCACCTCGCAAGCTGCTGCTGCTGCCTGCCTCCAATCCCAGGCAGCTCAAGGGAGTAGCTTCAAAGAATTGCACTGGTGGCGGCAGCTGTGGCGGCGGCAGCAGCGGTGGCAGCAGCGGCGGCGGCAGCAGTGGAATGGACAAGGCAGCAATTCTCGAGGAGCACAATAAGGCGCGGCGGGCAGTGGGTGTGGCGGACCTCTCATGGGACGACAATGTAGCAGCAGCAGCGAAGCAGTGGGCAGATGAGCTCGCCTCCAGCGGATGCAAAATGAAGCACGGAGCGGCAAAGGGGCTTGGGCAGAACCTGTACTGGAAGCGCCCTGCGCAGCTGAACAGTGGTGAGGACCGGGCGGCGGTGCGGGCGTGGGTGGCGGAGAAGGCGGACTGGACGTACAGTGCCGTGCCTAATGGGTGTGCGGGCGGCAAGCAGTGTGGGCACTACACGCAGGTGGTGTGGCGGGGTACCCAGCGTGTCGGGTGCGCTGCTGCCCAGTGTGCGGATGGGGGGGGCATGTGGGTTTGCGACTACTCGCCGCAGGGCAATATGGTTGGGTCGGCTCCGTATTAGCACCCGTTTCCAGTGGAATGGTGCTGACAGATTAAGTTGGGATGCAAGGTGTAGTTTGCAAGTGAACTGTGCTTGCGTGCGTATGCATGAGAAACCAAGCATGGGGTGAAAGTGATACACTCACTCCAGTTCATCTGCTAGCTTTCTCTGTCTCTCAAATACTCATGGATGTTGTGGTGTGGTATTTACAGAATGTTCTGGTGTTGATATACGGTAATCAGAGAACTTCTGGTAACATAAAATCAGTAGTTACGAAATCACACCTGAGGACGAAAACGGGGGACAGGTGGGGAGATGGGAGAAGGGGACAAATGGAACAGGTGAGAGCAGAGGGAATGAGGTACAGTTTCACCCCGGATATAAGCGCACCTGCGCTTATAATAAAAATGTAAATTTTTGAAAGTGTGTAACACTTTCCAAAATTGTGTATTGTGAATAGCGAAGCGAGTTGTACCGAAGCAAAGGCTTCGGCGAACCGCTACTTCCCCCTTTTTGGTACAAACGAGGGGCGAAGGCCATTTGGCCTTCACCCACGTTTCATTTCGAACTTTCAACTTTCAAGTTCGGATTTTTCCGTCCAAGCTGGCGAAGATCAAGACACTTCCCCGCTTCACTTCTCCGTCAACACTTCTCTCCGACATTTTCGAGCGGAACCTCTCAACGATGGCGCCGACTAATGCCAACAATAGCCCCGGGGCTATCGACGCTCCTTCCCGTCCTTCGGCGGGGCTTGAAAAAACGCCTCGGGAAACCAGCGCGGAGAAACGCAAGCGCCCTGCCGTGACTCCCGCCGAGGAGCAGCACACTGGAGTCGATGTGCTCCTCGGCGAGGGTGTGACTGCCGCGCGTCAGCCCCAGCCCAGCGCGTCCACCAGGCAGGCGCGTGGGCCTGCGGGCGGCGGCGACAATGATGGCGAACCGGTCGCCATCATTGCGCCTGCAGCCGCGGATCTTGGCGGATCTCGAGGCCCCCACAAGAGGAGGGCGAAAGATTCGCCTGCACCTGAGGGGGCGCCAGCGAATCTCTCGCCCTCGCAAGTGGCGGCGCTGTTGGCGCTTCTTCAAAAGCAGGTCGCTGCCCCGGTTACAACGCCGACAACTACAGCAGAAACGGAAAATTCTGCCCCCGCTAAAACTGCTAACATCCGCAACAATGCGTCTACCTCCGCACGCGTTGTCGCTCCAACTCGCGCCGACAAAGGAAAGGCGCCCGCCGTCGAAGACGAACCCGCAGCGCCTGCTGATGCCGGCTCCGACTCCGACAGCGACGATGGTGAGGAGCCAAACATTCCTATTTGCCTAACGACCCCCTTCCTCCTCTCCCCTCACCCCACCCTTCTACCGCGGCCGCCGCCTTCAACCGCAAAGGCGTCCGCGACCAGGCGGAAGTATTCGAAGCTATCCAGACCTACCTGGCGCACGTCGAGCACAAGATCCGCGGTGGCGACACAACCGGTGCACTCAAAACCATCACCCAAGCCCAAGAACTAATCAAGCGGCGTTTCGACGTTTTGGTCGTCGCCGACCATGCCGGCTTCAACGTGGCAGAGCGTTATCAGCTGCTGAAGACCACGGCGGTCCTCACCTCGCGCTCCTTCAAGATGGCGGTGGCGGACATGGCGGCTCTTAAGCGGATGAAGTCCGGTTTCGTTCGCGGGAGCCGTTCTTTTCACCCGAGACCCCCACCTTCATGCCTAAGGCGATGGGAGCTCCGAACGGGTGTCGGGGCTTTAAGGGCACCTGCTTTCGCTGCGGCCAGAATGGCCACATGGCGAGCGCATGCCCCCATGGGGGCCATGGGGGCAATGGGCCCGCACCGGTGGTGTGATGGAGGCCGAACACCCTCATCCTACCCTCCTCTCATTGCCTCCAAGGCGGCTCCCGCCTTGGCTGTTTTTGGGATGGACCGGTGGACGGGTGGGCTAGGACCAGGGGGTCCTTGAGAAGGCTGTTTAGCCAGAGGCTAGATGCAAGGATGCTCTAGGCCATTGAAAAAAAAAAAAAAAAAAAAAATGTGTGTGTGTGTGCGCGTGTGCGCGTGTGCGTGATGTGTACGTGTGTATGTTAAGCCCGGGTGGCCTATTATTATGCATTATTATCATGGAAGAGTGACTCAGGCCGTAGGGCGCCGGCACATGCCCACCCCACAAGCCAAGATGTGGTGCAAAAAAAAAAAAAAAAAAAAAAGGAAGGGGAAGAAGCGAGTTAAGAAGGGGACAAAGAGTGTCGTGGACTTGGGAGCAATGGAAGGCACCTTGTGATAGGGCCTCAGATGAAAGGGCAGCAGGCAAGAGGCGTCCCACGAGGGACTTCCAGAATGCAACATCCTCCTCTCTCTCTCTCTAAAAAAAAAAAAAAAAAAAAAAAGAGGGGAGGGAAAGAGAGAGCGAGAAAGAGAGAAGAAGAGGGGTGCACACATCCACCCAAGCTCTTGTACTTCACGATCGAAGCTCGCACGAGTGCCTCTGGACCGATAACACGTGCAATAAGGGTCTAGCCTACAATCACACACCCCTCGGTGCACACCTCATGGTGTGTACAAAAAAAAAAAAAAAAAAAAAGACAAGGAGAAGAGAAGAGAGCCATATAGGGGAAGGATGCTGTGCCAATTACATCGTGCCTCTTAGCACCCTCGAGGGCGTTCAATGCATACCCCGACTCATGCCACCAACGTCCGTCCCCCCACCACACCATCCGCACCTCCTCGTATAACCTCGGTAGGCGCGCTTGAAGGGCGCTAGCAAGTTTTGTGGTTCAAGCCCCATCGCTCCAAAGCCGCGAGTCGATGTGCCGTTCTTTCTGAAGTTTTTCTCGTGTAACTGGTAACGCACACTGAGTACCATGTGGTTCAGACAAAATTTAACTCGCAAACTACTCTTGTCCCAAATCGATTGGCCATTGCAGACAACGTCCCTTCATGGTCGGGCGAATGGCACGAGGCCTTGGAACACGCGGTAACAGACAGGGACGTTACGACCATGGGAGGTCGACTACGTCAAGCATTCGCGTGGTGGGCATCATGGTGCGAGAGCAGTTTGATCCTATCAGCAATCTCCAATGGATACTGGCTCCCGTGGAATGAGTCCCCACCACCGTTTTTTCGTGACAAGAATCATGCCGGGGTTGCGCAACACAACGAGTTCACAGGCTCGGCTATCTCCGACTTGCTCTCATCCGGCGCGGCGGCAGCCGCGGGACCGCTCGCCGTGGCATGCATCAGTCCACTAAATGTTGTGGAACAACGCGACAAGTGTCGCCTCATTTTGGATCTGAGGAAGGTCAATCAATACCTTGTTATCCCTAAATTCAAGTACGAAGGTTTGGTTCGTGTCGCCGAATTAGCGCAACCGGGAGACTGGATGTTCTCCATCGACCTGAAGTCCGGATACCACCACGTCGAAATTCACGCATCATGCTGGAAATTCCTAGGTTTCCACTTTGAAGGCACGGACTACTATTTCAAGTCGTCACCGTTCGGCCTCGCGACGGCACCCTTCCCTTTTACTCAGTTGATGAAACAGCTGGCTCGAAGATGGCGAGCGCAGGGTACAAGAGTAATCCCATACGTGGACGACATCTTGTTCCTCTGTACCTCGAAGGAAGCTCGTACGACAAGTGGTGCAATAATTCGCGACCTACGACAATCGGGGCTCGTCATCAACGCCAAAAAGTCACACCTCACCCCGACCCAGAACTTGCAGTTTCTTGGAATGCAGTTGGACACCCAAGCGGGAAGATTCACCATTGGCCCCGAACGCCGGGCTCAACTCATGCATACACTACGAGTGCTTCTCGACGCCTACGAACTGTCAAACATTATACATGTTCCTATTGTGTAGGCTATAGTGGGTTTAGCCTTAGAAGGTACAACATTGCTAGGGTTTCCTACTTGTATCACCCTGCTGCCTAGTCTCATCTATTCTCGTTCACTTCTAGATTCTAACATGGTATCCGACGCCTAGGTCAGGACCTAGGACCGACGTTCGTTTGGGCCCACCGTTCCGCTGCGCCGTCGAGCACCCCTACTAGCGCCGTCGAGCGCCCCTTCTAGCGCCGTCGAGCGCCCCTTCTAGCGCCGTCGAGCGCCCCTACTAGCGCCGTCGAGCGCCCCCTTCTTGCGCCGTCGAGCGCCCCTACTAGCGCCGTCGAGCGCCCCTTCTAGCGCCGTCGGGCGCCCCTACTAGCGCCGTCGTGCGCCCTAGGACAGCCGCGCGCGTCGCCCGGCAGTCGCACGCGCAGCCGCACGCGCAGCCGCACGCGCGGCCGCCCGCACAGCCGCACGCGCAGCTGCCCCAGCCCGTCGCGTCGCCCTTGCGGGCTGCCCTAGCCTGTCACGTCGCCCTTGCGGGCTGCCCTAGCCCGTCGCGTCGCCCTTGCGGGCTGCCTTAGCCCGTCGCGTCGCCCCTGCGGGCTGCCTTAGCCCGTTGCGTCGCCCTTGCGGGCTGCTCTAGCCCGTCGCGTCGCCCATGCGGGCTGTCCCAGCCCGTCGCGTCGCCCTTGCGGGCTGCCCTAGCCCGTCGCGTCGCCCCTGCGGGCTGCCTTCGCCCGTCGCGTCGCCCTTGCGGGCTGCCCCTGCCCGTCGCGTCGCCCTTGCGGGCTGCCTTAGCCCGTCGCGTCGCCCCTGCGGGCTGCCTTAGCCCGTCGCGTCGCTCCTGCGGGCTGCCTTAGCCCGTCGCGTCGCCCCTGCGAGCTGCCTTAGCCCGTCGCGTCGCCCTTGCGGGCTGCCCTAGCCCGTCGCGTCGCCCTTACGGGCTGCCCTAGCCCGTCGCGTCGCCCTTGCGGGCTGCCCCAGCCCGTCGCGTCGCCCCAGCCGAGCCGCCACTGCAGTAGCCGCCCCTGGCCCCTGGAGCAGCCGCCACTGCAGCAGCCGCCCGTGGCCCCTGGAGCAGCCGCACCTACAGCCGCCCCTGGACCCTGGAGCAGCCGCCCCTGCAGCAGCCGCCCCTGGCCACCTGGAGCAGCCGCCACTGCAGGAGCCGCCCCTGGCCCCTGGAGCAGCT